TCTATGACATGCACTGACTGCAGGGGGCACGTGGGACATGGCAGGGTCAGCCATGTAGCGCTGGCAGTGGAGGCACTGCCAGCCCCAATGAGCCCTGACAAGAGCAGGACCATGGCAGGATGGTGGAGCAGGTGAGCAGGCAGCGCCAGGCCAAGGGGGGTGCAGGCAGGCCCCAATCCCGCCCCACCGATCATCCCACAGACAATGATCAGTGGCGGCGGCGTGGGGTGGGGCCATCGCCTGGCTCCCAGGCACTGAGGCACGACCGATCACCCCACGGAGGGCGGCCCACAGGCCCTGATCGCCCAAACTAGCCAGCCCCCGGAATGGGACTGGGAACTGGGGGTGGGTGGCAGCAACCAACCTCCGGGACAACCAACCTCCCGGGCACTGTGACCTCTCGCTGGTACCTGGGGGCGGGGGTGATGGGGATGGAGGTGCGAGGTCCACCAAGCTTGCTCTCACTCCCCCTGCTACCCTACGGGCTCCCCGTGGGTTAGCTCAGGAGCCGGTCTGCGAGGCCAGCTGGGAGAGAGTGTACTGCCTGCCCGGCCTCCGTGCGGCACTGCTGGGCAGCCCAGAGGCCCACGCTGCACCCCAGCCCGCAGGGCATCCGGCTGTGCTCACCACATCTCCACATGGGGACTTGGGCGCCATGACTCAGGCGGAGAAGGGTTTGCGGGGGCCCAGGGGCCCAGGTGCTGCCCAGGGCCCAGCAGTCAGCTGCCCTTCCACGCCAGACACTCGTGCTTCAATCGCTGGCCAGGCCTAGGCACCGCACCCATGCATGAATTTCATGCACCAGGCCTCTAGTTCTTATATATTATAGGTATGTGGACTTAAAAAGCAAATAGAAAAAATGTGGACAATTGCCAGTAAGTGAGCACATGAGAGTTGGGTACCTCCGCATCCAGGCTCTGCTCCTCCCTGGCCGTGTAACTGTGGACAAGTCATTTAACCTCTCAGTTTCCTCATCTGCAAGGTGGAACCTACTAAGGAAGCTGTAAGGGTTACAGGAGTTCATGGCTTCAAACCATACCTGCCATAGAGTAAGCACTATTTGAACTTCAGCTCCTACTGCTGGATTTTTTAATTTCTCAAAAACCCCTCATAATTATTCCTTATGAAAGAAACTGTTACAAGAACAAATACAAAGCCCAGACTGCATCCGAGAGTTGAACTTGCAGATACTGTGAGTGGTGCTGCTGCAAAGACCTGTGCATATGCTTGTGACACGTTTCTGCTACGATGCGGAGTCCACAAAAGTCATTGCTGTTGCAGTCATCGTGAGAACTGTTACTGATCATGTCATTGGATGATTGGGGCGTTTTCATCAAAGCTATAGCTTTACTGTGATTCATCCTTTTCTTTGATTGCCTGGAGCTTCAGGCAGGATGGAAAAGCCACATGCTTCTTTGATCCTTGTGAGCTAAAAAAAATACGTAGGCAGCAATCTCTGTGAGGCCAAATGCAGTCCCAGCCACAGCAGGAACGGGCTCACTCCAGCTGCGATTCGCTGTTACACCTCGAGACAAAAGCCTTCTTTCTCCTCAGCCCCACCCGTGCATCGCCCTCCCTCTCTGAACTTTGATTTTTTTCTTTTTATTCCTTTCAACTATGCTCTCCTTACTCTAAGAGAGCTATTATGCCAAATTTCTCAATGCTTTTAGTGGTTTCATTTCTCAGAAGCACTCATTTTGCAGCATATCAGCATACAGATTGGCCTATATTTCTTTCAGGCTCAGAATTTTCCCCTTAAGTTCTCCCATTCTTTTTTTTTTTTTTTTTTTTTTAACCAGACCTCCACCAGCTTTTGATACAATGGAAGCACTAGATTCCAGGACCTAGTTTTTGTCTAAAATGGGCTCATTATTGTCCTGATACCATATTCTTTCTGATCTCTTTACTGAGTCATTTTCATTCAAATTATAATTTAGCCAGGATTTTTTTCTGTCTAGTAGCCTGAACTTTAACACCTTCTGCTAATCCTTAAACAAACAAACAAACAAAAACCTTTTTTTCATGATGGCCTTTTTGGTTTCCTCATTCTTCATTCCTCCCCTTCCCAGAAGTTACTCTGTTTCCCTTATTGGATTTATTGTAAGTCTTCTGACTCTTGACTACCAACTCCAGTGTGTGTAGTTAAAAATGAGAAGCCTGTTGCAGGAAGAAAGATTCCTGCAAGAATAGGGCTTCTCTCCAGTCTCTGCCCCTCCTGCCCCGCCCTTCTCTGCCGCTTGTCTCCCACCCATCTCCGCTACCTCAGCTCTGTTGCTTGGCTTCCTTCTACGGTGTCTTCAGTCTTTGCTCCCAGCCAGTATATGCAAATTAGCCGCCATATTTGTTGGCGGTTAATTTGCATATCACTCTGATTAGCCAATGGTGGGTGTAGCGGAGGTACGGTCAGTTTGCAT